GGACGTGAAAATTCAAAAATTTCTGCCAGCGAGGTATGCTGATGCAGACATTGAACAAACACTTGCATGTGCCCATGCTGACCACCTGTGCTCTTTTGCGCCTCTAAGGAAATGTAGACAGCATCTACGCGCCCAAAAATTCCGCCGCTTGTCTCTGCATTGCTGCCGCGTAAGTCTTGACAGGGCTCTAAGCCACAAAAGCGGTTGCAATCAGGACAAAAAGGACAAATACGCACACCAAAAAGGTGCTTCAACATTAAATGTGTGAGCACGCGAAAACCATCCACTGCGGCCAGAGGATCCCTTGCTAAAACTTCGCGACGCTCTGCCCAAGACATGGGTAACGTGAACTCATATTCAAATGGCCCAGGCGTTGCAGCACTTGCTGTGCCGAGATCAGGGAAAAACATGTTGCCGGCTGGAAAATCTTGCGCGACAGATGCAGCACGTACAGGATCAGATGCCCGAACTCGTGTCATGCGAACAAAAAGCAACTGATGTGCCTCATCTGGCGTATAAGTGACGAACAACGGTACCCCATACCGAATTCGCATCGCCTGGATTTCGAACCGCATTCTCTTTCGCGCTTCCTGTGTCCCTGGTAACCCCTGCGCTGTATGTCGCATGTTCGTCAACAATTTTCGCGCCATCGGCTTCAGGCCTTGCACATATCTGAGCTTGGAGACATCTCCTTTGATTGGGCGCGGTTGACCTGTAACATCTATATAAGAGCCCTTCAGGGCGAGCAACAAGTCTTGTGCCGCCTGTTCCAGGTGCTTTCCTGTCGGCTGCACCCACTCTTGCGTTTCTTCATCGTAGAAGCTCCGCGAGTATGCATCCGTTGTTCGGGACAGATTCAAAGCTGATCGAAACAGCAGATTCCACGACGTAAAGCCAAAAACCCAATCACGACTGACTTGCGCCTCGATGCGTCGCGCCATGACTTTGACCCATGTATTTAGCTCGACGTGCGGATCTTCCGTGTGGCGTCGAAGCCGTTTCCGTTGGCTCCACTTGGGCACATCAGGCAAACCAATGCCATATGGGAAGACAAAAGGAAAGGCTAAAGCAAAGTAAAGTGGCTGAAATTGATCCAAAAGTTTGGTGCCCGTATACAGTGTCACTTCTGGAAGAGGCTGCGCAGGCGCTGGCTGACTGCGGGTCACAATGTCTTCCAGTGCAGACACGTGTTGTGCATTTAGATCGTGACATCCTGCAGTTGTTTTCTCTAGAACGACCGCGTTCGGTTTCAGCAAACATCCGAACTCACAACTCACTTGTGCTTCAGACATTTGGTCGTTGAAGGGCGTAGCTGCTTTTTGCCGCAAGACGTGATTAAGACTCCCATCGTTATCCAATAAGGCAATGATTTCGGCGGGAACGTCATTTTCTGGTAACATTTTGGCACGTGCTTCCACGAGTGCCATATCTATTCCTTTGTACGCAGGATGGCTTCGCGCAACCATTGTTGCGATTAATCTCACAACGACCTGACGCCGGACAACTGCTTGGTGAATGATGTGTTGACGCATCGCTGCTTTGTCTTTCTTGTCTCCTATTTTTATTATAACGGCAATTTTGTCACTTAATGCTTTGCCTACGTGCGGTAGGCAACCAGCAGGCGTATTCGATGCCAGTTTTTCGTCCAAACGTTGGAATTCGGACAACAAGTCCTCCCATGGCAACGGAAACGTCGTTGCATTTCCTTTGGCGCATAGGCGGTGCCGGTTCATAAATGCATCTTGGGCTAAACTCCGGTCTTGCAGGTAGCGCCATTCAATGCTAAAACACGTCAAGGCAGTCATGCAAGGGCTTGCACACAAGAGTTCTAAGACAGTGCATTCTTGCGCATAGATCTCCCGCGGTGGATGTCCGAGTATCATGTCGTTGCTCAATGCTGCTGGTGGTTTGCTCCTATGTCGATACACATAGTTCCAACAAGAGGAACAAATTGGTACTTCGCAGTGTGTGCACACAGACTCCATGGAACAATGCCTGTAGCAAGTTTTGTCTTCGGGACATGCAACCACACGAATCGTGTAGGAAGGGCAAGACTTTCGTTGCGTTACATTGCAATGCATTGCATTGCACTACATTGCATTGCATAGCATTACATTGCCTTACATTGCGTTGCATTACACTTCATTACATTGCATTGCATTACCTTTCGTTGCTCTTCATTGCAATGCAGGGCATTGCATTGCATTGCATTACATTGCATGGCATTACATTGCATTACATGGCATTGCATTACATTTCACTGCATTGCATTGCATTACATTTCATTGCTTTTCATTGCAATGCATTGCATTGCATTACGTTGCTTGGCATTACATTGCATTGCATTGCATTACATTGCATTCCATTACATTGCATTGCAGTACATTGCATTGCATTACATTGCATTGCATTACATTGCCTTACATTGCATTGCATTGCAGTACATTACATTGCATTACATTGCATTACATTGCCTTACATTGCATTGCATTGCAGTACATTGCATGGCATTACATTGCATTGCATTGCATTTCATTGCATTGCATTACATTGCATTGCAGTGCAGTACATTGCATTGCACTACATTACATTGCATTGCATTGCATTACATTGCATTTCATTGCATTGCATTACATTGCATTGCAGTGCAGTACATTGCATTGCACTACATTACATCGCATTGCATTGCATTACATTGCATTCCATTACATTGCATTGCATTGCAGTACATTGCATTGCATTACCTTGCATTGCATTGCATTGCCTTGCATTGCATTGCAGTGCATTGCATTGCATTGAATTGCAGGCTTTCATTTATAGTTTCTTTAGGTCAATTTATGATTTCTTTAGGGTTCATTTTGTGTTTCATGTAGGGGTTTCTGGCAGCAATTCATTCGGGTTTCTTTCGGTTTCACAGTTTCACCTACGGTGTTTAAACTTTCATTTAAGATACAAACAGGAAAGAATAAAACAAAAAAAGTAGGATTTCAATTTCATGTAGGAATTCTCTGGAGATTTACATCTCTTAAAGGTTTTATTTCGAGTTTCTTTTGCGTTTCTGTCGGGTTTCATGTCGGGTTTCATTTAGGGATTCTTTCCGACTTCCTTTCGGGTTTAATTTCGAGTGTTATGTGAATTTCTTATCAGAAAATCTTGTCAAGGTTTTCAAACATTCATGTGGGTTTCTTGAGAGTTTCTTTAGAGTTTCATTTCGGATTTCGTTCATGAGGAGTCAAAAAAACACGGGGGAGGTCAAACAAACAAGGTGGGGGATCAAAAAAAACACCGCCCTCGTATACTTCGATAAAATATCATGCACCTGTGCGGCGCAACCATGCACCTGTGCGGCGCAACACTAGCTGTATAATAATAGGGCCAAAAATATCGTGTATATATACATATATATATTTATCTAACTATTATACAGTTACTTAGATCCATGAACCCATAAAATGAACCCATAAAACCATAGGATCAGAATATTAACATGTACTCAAATGAAAAACCCATTTACACATGAAAATTCAAACCTATCAAATTTATTTCACAACGATATACATGGCAAAAAGGTCGAGAGCCTCAAGGTGCGATACATTTCATTGCGTTCCATTGCAATGCCTTACATTGCATTACATTGCATTGCATACCATTACATTGCCTTACATTGCGTTGCATTACACTTCATTGCATTGCTTTGCATTACCTTTCGTTGCTCTTCATTGCAATGCAGGGCATTGCATTGCATTACATTGCATGGCATTACATTGCATTACATGGCATTGCATTACATTTCGCTGCATTGCATTGCATTGCATTACATTTCATTGCTTTTCATTGCAATGCATTACATTGCATTACATTGCATTGCATTACATTGCTTGGCATTACATTGCATTACATTACAGTCAATTGCATTACATTGCATTCCATTACATTGCATTGCAGTGCATTGCATTGCATTACATTGCATTGCATTGCATTACATTGCATTGCATTGCATTACATTGCCTTACATTGCATTACATTGCAGTACATTGCATGGGATTACATTGCATTGCATTTCATTGCATTACATTGCATTGCAGTGCAGTACATTGCATTGCACTACATTACATTACATTGCATTGCATTGCATTACATTGCATTCCATTACATTGCATTGCATTGCATTACATTGCATTGCATTACCTTGCATTGCATTGCATTGCATTGCAGTGCATTGCATTTCATTGCATTGAATTGCAGGCTTTCATTTATGGTTTCTTTAGGTCAATTTATGATTTCTTTAGGGTTCATTTTGTGTTTCATGTAGGGGTTTCTGGCAGCAATTCATTCGGGTTTCTTTCGGTTTCACCTACGGTGTTTAAACTTTCATTAGGGTTTTATTTCGAGTTTCTTTTGCGTTTCTGTCGGGTTTCATGTAGAGTTTCATTTAGGGATTCTTTCCGATGTCCTTTCGCGTTTAATTTCGAGTGTTATGTGAATTTCTTATCAGAAAATCTTGTCAAGGTTTTCAAACATTCATGTAGGTTTCTTGAGAGTTTCTTTAGAGTTTCATTTCGGATTTCGTTCATGAGGGGTCAAAAAAACACGGGGGAGGTCAAACAAACAAAGTGGGGGATCAAAAAAAACAACGCCCTCATATACTTCGATAAAATATCATGCACCTGTGCGGCGCAACCATGCACCTGTGCGGCGCAACATTAGCTGTATAATAATAGGGCCAAAAATATTGTGTATATATATATATATAACTATTATACAGTTACTTAGATCCATGAACACATAAAACCATAAGATCAGAGTATTAACATGCTCAAATGAAAAACCCATTTACACATGAAAGTTCAAACCTATCAAATATATTTCACAACGATGTACATAGCAAAAAGGTCGAGCTGCCAGCTTTGCTTCCTTGCCACTTCTTCCGGGGTCGGCGGCAGGGGCGGCAGCCCTTAAATAAGATCCAATTTGGGCAAACAATCCAATTTTTGGAGACCTCAGTTCATGAACAAAGATCCAAACACTCCAAACTCGTGATCCAATACGAAGGTCAGCATGGCTCCTCTGGGAACATATTCACTATCGAGGTCAGAAAAAAATATGAAGGCGAAGTCCGAGGGTGATGGTTAAAACAGGTTTAACAAGCCAGAAATAGTGTTTATAGTTAGTTTATAGTTATAGTTTGTGTTAGTTGTTTATAGTTACTTTTATTCATCCTTCTACAAACCATCAATCGTAAGCCATAAACTCATAAACCAAACTGAAGCTCACCCTGAAGTATCTGGCCATTTGGGGATGATTCTCCCCTGCAAAATTTGATCCATCATAATTCACCCAGATCCGAAAGCTCTGGTAATGACTAACAGTTTTAGCGAACTTGAACATGATCATAGAAATAGTCGATTTACCATGATTTACCTATTATAAATAGTGGATCTTTCCACTTCGCTATCTTAGTTTATCAGAGGCTAATCCCCATGGCTTTCTCCCCAAGAGACTTGCTGCTTAGTGGGACACCTGACTCGACCCCAGCCTTGCTCTTGCCAAAGGCTTCCAATTCGGCATATTCCACCTGGGCGAAACAACCCATGGAAGCTGACCATTTGGGAAGCCCAGGGATGCCAATTCGCATCTGTGCCGGATGCTAGTGAACTTCTTGAACTATGATGTTTGCCCCCATATTTTCCAGATTATTCCAAGTACGTGCTTACTGTGGATGATTGAGAACTCCCGAAATCCTGCACCACCTTGGATGGTTGAAACCCTATAGTGGGATAAACCACCGTTTTCAACTGGTGCAGGATTTCTTCCATTTGCTTCATATGCTGTCAGTTATTCCAACATCTTCCAACTAGAAAGCCATGCAATGCACCTGGCCTTTCCGGAGTGGTCCTTGTCAAGTTCCAGGAAGGCCTCCGCGTGCGCGAAAAATGTCATGAGCACAAGCCTCGACTCACCGAGTATTAAACTTCATATTGTTGACCCACACTATTGTTAGGTTGATGTTAGGTTAATGTTAGGTTAACTTAAATGGAATGTCATCCAATATAGCTTCAACATGCTTTCACACGCTTTGATTAACCCTCAAACTTGGGGATTTGATGAAGAATTTCATAACATAATACATCAAACACGTGGATTTGTGACCTCTGCATACTAGAACATCCACTAGCATTGTTGGTCAACTTGAACCGTTCTGAGACTTCGAAACCGGTCTCGCAACAAAACGGAACCATGGGGTGGACATTTCCCGCAACCCCCGACACTCAAAACAACAAGTGAGCAGTGTCAACAACCTCTGAGGGAATCTTTCCAACATGCTTGGTCAAAAATCCATAGCTCATGAGCTATGATACAGTATCCATCAGTATCCAATCAATATGAAGGCTAGATTAACAACATTTAACCATCCCCAAAAAATGGAAGCAACCAACGCCAGGCTTTTTGAAAGTGCTCAATTTCCAGTACACCCCATTCTCGGAAAATGTAGCTGTTACATCTACCATAAACCTTAGTTTTATCAGTTGTAAACCAACTTAACCGAATACCTGGATAAATTGGAATCATTATCCTGCGTATTTCAGCCTCTTACCAGGGACACTCACACCCTCGAAAATCTTCCCATCAGTCCGTCGAATTCCGGAATTCGACGTGAGATCGATAAAGAAATGACCCAGAACTATGGGGCATCACCTGTTGCCTTTGAGATTTCTCCATGGCAATACAGGATTAGCCGCTTAGCCCGACGAATCCCGGTTCGACCTCTTCTTCTGGCCGCAGAGACTTTTTGGTGGCCTGGCTCCACAAAACCTCTGGAGATCCGATGAGTTACCATAGAACTGGGTGGAAGAATCCAATAAATGTATCATCATAAAGTAGGTCCTACATAACTCATATATTGTAAACCCTATAGTCACTATGTATGTATATATACATATATATATAATATATATATATATATATGAAGTTCATTAAAGTTCATTAAGATCATCTGCCTTGGATGATATTTTTGCAATTTCAGTTGACCTGAATTCCGACTTTGTTTTTATCTGGATCGGATCACTCCGTATGGTAAATTCAGATCACTTGACCAATCCCCAACACTTTGCCATCAAAGATCACCATGAAAATACTCTAGGTTATCGATGTTTTACGTCATTTTCCAAAGGTAATTATAGGATAGTGATTACCAGAATAACATCCATAGGTGGAGAACTCCAATCATGTTCATAATTGAAGCAATATAAACTGTATAATTAGATACCCTCCCGTCATCAAACATGGCTTGCCGGAAAATCGCACGTTTCGTTAGATGACTTTCCCATGAACACCTCTCTTTAATGTGGAGATTTCCCAGCCATGCTTGATGACAACCCGGGGTGAAATATTCACCTCACATCCTCATTCTTCCCCCATCATAGCCCATGGATATGCCAGTTACCCTCTGGTAATGTAACATAGCTATTGAAACTCACCATGTTTAATGGGCAAATCAATCAAATCATCCATGTTTCTGGCAATTTTCAATAGCAAACTCTTAGATTAACCAGAGGGTAACTATAGTTATAGTAGCCATAAACCATAGTTATCAAACATTTACCACATATATATATAATATATATATATATTAACCATTGATATGCCAGTTATATCATAAATTCCTCAGACAAAACATGGTGAATTCTGAATCACCTGTGCCCCAAGGAAGACGGTCGCCAGGGCCAACAGCCGTGTCGCCATGGCGCCTAAAAAATGGAGTTTACCCATCGTGACTGTCAATTTCCAAACGGGAAACCGTGGGATTTCATGGGGTTTCCACATCTAAATGTAGGGTAACCTCCTGTAATTTAACAAAACTATGGGAAATTGCCCATATATCTAGGTAAAATAGAATAGTTGACTAACCTGTAGTAAGGCCATGTAGATGAACATGTCACTTGTTAATCATCATTCCAGTCACACTGCAGTGAGGTCTTTATAATGTGTCCAGATCTATAATCTATACAGGAATATTACATTATTTAACTATTAAAACCGGCGAGTTTCAATTTTCTATAGCAATGTTAATCGACTGGAGAGTATATAATTGATATCAAAACTTCCCTCAAACTCCCAAAACGAACCAGTTATCAATTATATACTCTGCCCACTCAAATGTCTGTTGCAGTGTGTGGTAAACTCCAACCCCTTCATGGTCTTACGGTCATACTGGGGATGGTTTATGAATGGGTTTACCAATTGAATCCATTGATCATTGGTACATAAAAATTGGGTACACCCCTAGGTTTTGGCAGATTCAGCAGCACACTCTTAAGGCCACCATGGCCACCATGACCACCATTGATGGTTGAATATGCTAAAACATGCTAAAAACAACCCCCTGTTAATTAAGGGTTGGGGCTGTGCAACCATTTTGTAGTGAAGAAACGGCCTGCATAGCCTCAAGCTCTACTAAATGGATGTGCATGCATGATCGAATTTCACTACTAAATGTGGGCCCCTGGTTCAGCTGAAGCGCAAAATTTGGATATATTTTCAGAGTGTCTTAAGACGCCAACATGACTCGACCAAACACCCTGTTCCATTTAGTAGAGGTACTCATTTGAGCACAAGTTGCGGGACCAACATCACTCGACCAAAACCCCAAAGCCATTTAGTAGAGAAATACACGGGGTCCATTTAGTAGAGAAAACAACATGAAACACATATGACTGATCCCATGACCATCCATTTAGATTTGGCATCGCCCCCAAAAAAGGCCAAAAAAGAACCCCAAGCACGAAAGGCAGCACCCGACGAGCAAGAAACACCCAAGCGAGGGATTTGGCATCGCCCCCCAAAAAAGGCAAAAAAAGAACCCAAGCACGAAAGGCAGCACCCGACGAGCAAGAAACACCCAAGCGAGGGATTTGGCATCCGCCCCCAAAAAAGGCAAGGCAGCACTTGGCTAGACAGGGGAAATCTTGAGAGATTTTGGACATTTTGGGACTACAAAATGGTGTTGCATAGCACGTAAGGGATAATGGGGCACACACGGATGCAACAGGGCTTTGTTTGAAACAGTTCTAGATAGACTGATCCCATGACCATCCATTTAGTAAGCACCCGACGAGCAAGAAACACCCAAGCGAGGGATTTGGCCGCCCCCAAAAAAGGCAAAAAAAAAACCAAACACGAAAGGCAGCACCCGACGAGCAAGAAACACCCAAGCGAGGGATTTGGCATCCGCCCCCAAAAAAGGCAAGGCAGCACTTGGCTAGACAGGGAAAATCTTGACAGATTTTGGACATTTTGGGACTACAAAATGGTGTTCCATAGCATGTAAGGGATAATGGGGCACACACGGATGCAACAGGGCTCTGTTTCAAACAGTTCTAGATAGACTGATCCCATGACCATCCATTTAGTAAGCACCCGACGAGCAAGAAACACCCAAGCGAGGGATTTGGCCGCCCCCAAAAAAGGCAAAAAAAGAACCCAAACACGAAAGGCAGCACCCGACGAGCAAGAAACACCCAAGCGAGGGATTTGGCATCGCCCCCAAAAAAGGCAACAAAAGAACCCAAGCACGAAAAGCAGCACCCGACGAGCAAGAAACACCCAAGCGAGGGATTTGGCATCGCCCCCCAAAAAAGGCAAAAAAAAACAAACACGAAAGGCAGCGCCCGACGAGCAAGAAACACCCAAGCGAGGGATTTGGCATCGCCCCCAAAAAAGGCAAGGCAGCACTTGGCTAGACGGGGAAACTTGACAGATTTTGGACATTTTGGGACTACAAAATGGTGTTCCATAGCACGTAAGGGATAATAGGGCACACAAGGATGCAACAGGGCATTGTTTCAAACAATTCTAGATAGACTGATCCCATGACCATCCATTTAGTAAGCACCCGACGAGCAAGAAACACCCAAGCGAGGGATTTGGCATCGCCCCCAAAAAAGGCCAAAAAAGAACCCCAACACGAAAGGCAGCACCCGACGAGCAAGAAACACCCAAGCGAGGGATTTGGCATCGCCCCCCAAAAAAAGCAACAAAAGAAGCCAAGCACGAAAGGCAGCACCCGACGAGCAAGAAACACCCAAGCGAGGGATTTGACATCGCCCCCCAAAAAACGCAAAAAAAAACAAACACGAAAGGCAGCACCCGACGAGCAAGAAACACCCAAGCGAGGGATTTGGCATCGCACCCAAAAAAGGCAAGGCAGCACTTGGCTAGACAGGGGAAATCTTGATAGAATTTGGACATTTTGGGACTACAAAATGGTGTTGCATAGCGCGTAAGGGATTATAGGGCACACAAGGATGCAACAGGGCTTTGTTTCAAACAGTTCTAGATAGACTGATCCCATGACCATCCATTTAGTAGAGGCAGCACTTGGCTAGACTGGAGGCGGCATGGCAGGATACCGCAAGGATGCTATCTTTGTCCAATTTCTGTTTTTTCATATCGCGGTATACCCGATCATGTTGATTTACTTCAACCCAGGAATATCTTTGATATTCATTGGCATTCTAGAATTTATATTTATTTTTCAAGCTTCTTATTTTTTTGAGCATCTATTATCATATACTATCTGGATTTACGTGATTCATCCTGATGGACATGGATTGGCCAAACGACTATCGGGGGCAACGGAATGGGAATCTCTACTAAATGGTTTTTCAGTTTTGTCTCGTGTCATTGTGACCGTTTTATAAACTCTACTTCGCAACCTCTACTAAATGGTTCCTGTGATTTTGCAACATTTTTTTGACATCTCTACTAAATGGTTTTACCCAAAAAACAACATTTGACATCATATGATTAACATATCATTTTTACCTCACTACTAAATGTGGATCATGGGTCTAGAGATGTTTACTTGATTTTTTTTTAAAAAAATCATGATTCTCTACTAAATGGTTTCTGGAAATTTCACACTAAATTTTTGGTTCACTTTCCGGGACCTAGGTCATAGCATTTAGTAGTGGAAATTGGCAGGAGGATGGATATGGCATGATATGTCTTGATATGTTTGATATGTGCCGGACATTGTCGGAAACTCTGCCCCACGAAATATGTAGTCCAATGGGGTAAGCATGTCAACATCCTCCTGCACAAGAGCAAAGCTGGTCCTGATAGGTCACATGTTCCAAGTTACATCAAAAATAACCTGCCCAACATAGAAGGGTTTCCGAAGCACCAACTCCCTGTCAGTGTCACCATCTTCCAGACCCGAAAACTAGAACAAACATAAGGGATCATAAGGGAATATCTGAAAAACCACACATGTTGAAAACACGCGAACTTTTCTGAAAGTTTCTTGCGTGATTTTTTCAATGACGAAACTTTCACCAACATCAATCCTGCCGTCACAAACCGATACCCGCATCCTCCCATGGATCCCGTTCCGCTCCAGCGAGGTGCAATGAATTCCACCAGTACGGGCCTTGCCAACGCTCCAAGGATCCACCTTGACTGCTCTCTTTGGACTCGGAGCGTTCGACCTGAAGCGAATGCTCAAAAAGCTCCGTTCCAACCAACAAAAAAACATCGCAAAGTTCAAGATGGTGCTCAAAATGTATCAAAAGTTCGAGAGTAGCACAAGAGAACTTAGATTTTGACACAAACACGACCAACCCTAAAAGTCAAGGGAAATGGGAAGCACTGCCCTATCTCGAGACATTGGCAAATCACCATGGATCTGTACCCGGTGGAGCATCAGATCGGCCTGGCTAGAAATCCTCAAATATATATTCTCCTCTTTGAATCAAAGGAAAAGAAATCGACGGGAAAAAAGTCCGTACATTCTTGTTTCAATTTGGTAAATTTGCTCTAGAGTTGTAAATTTTCCAAAATGTTTATGTTTATTACTCTATGTTGTTTCCGACCTTGTGATCTATACCCCCCATATTTAAAATGGAACACCAACCATGAGGCCTGAAAATCTTTATTTTCCTATACCAAAACCTTCCAAGGGGTCAGGTTTTTTGACACCTATAGTGTGTTATTCAAAGGAGCAGCGTGCTGACACCCCTTAGCCGAACCAAAAAATCACAACAGGATATGGTGCTAACGATGTTGATACTACCAACATTTTTGGGAAATATGGTTGGAGGCGAGCTGGAGAAAAAAACAACTTTGATTTTTGGATTTTCCGACACGCAAATGACGCGTGACTCCCTGGCAGCGACACCCTGCCGACACGCATTTAGGGGTGCCAAAACGACACCCCTTAGCCTAAAAGGGTTGGGTTTTGGCACCCCCTATGACACGTTTGACATCGTTTGACACGCGCCCTTTTTGGGGTGCCAAAAAAAAACAGCTCAAAAATCATCGCTTCGGTGGCTTCAGACAACAAAGATGAGCTGTATATCCCAGATGGCCCAAAACAGGTTGAAAAAACCTTAGAAATTAAGGGGCGTCGTAGCGGAACCCCTTCCCTACGGGGTCCCAAAAAGGCACGCCTTGGCATGTCTTGGTATATTTTCCTATTGAATATGATGTTTCCGGGGGCCTCCATGTGAAATTTAGGGGCTTTGTAAATGATCCCTTACGCCAACAAGGTGGTGCCCCGTTCGATTGCGTTTTTAACTCCAATTTCACTATGGGATTTATCGGTGATATATAGTTGTCATGGGTTTATAACTTATAATCCCATGCAAACTATAGATATACTGTATCACTCCATAATAATCCATTGATAACTGGCGGTTTCTGTTTTCATCCAGCCGCTGACATCTTGGCAATCTCCTCTTGCA